AAATGAAAAATCTGACCACTCTTTGGGCATGTCTTATTTAATATTTCGTTCAGGATGCCAAGGTCCTGGTCGCATTAGAGCACCTCTGGGCTCAATCCCCAGTCTAACTAGGGGGCAAAAAAAGGGGGTGGACCTAACACAGAAAAATTAGTTGATGAGCTGGGAGCAGTGGCACATGCCTGTAATCCCAGCAGTCAGGAGGCTGAGGCAGGAGGATCATTGCAAGTTTGAGGCCAGCCTAGGCTACAAAGTGAGTTCAAGGCCAGCCTGAACTGCATAGCGAAACCCTGTCTCAAAAAAGCTAAAAAAAAAAAGAAATTAGTTGATGACTATGATTCCAATTCCTGAAGTTGGCTTTATTAAAAGAGGCGCAATTAGTCAATTATTTCAACAGTAGTACCTTTCAGTAGCAAATACTATTTACATAAGATATTAAAAATAGAATTTTCACTCAAAATGTGTACTTTTCATTATATTTTTTCAGGCTATCATTCATTCAGCACTCTGGGAAGCTGAGGCAGAAGAATCACAAGTTTGAGCACAGCATGAATAACTTAAAGAGACCCTGTCTCAAAATAAAAATTAAAAAATAAGGGTTAAGGATATAGTTTAAACCCAGTATTGCAGTAGTATTTCTTAAATTTAAAAAGTAATTCATTAGTATCAGTATTTTTAAATTTAATACCAACATTTTTAGCAAGAAAAAAATTATCCAGGTCAGATTCACTTGTCTATTAAAAACAATGACCAATAAGCTTTTAAAAGTTGTGATAACAAAATAATAGAAAATAAAAAAATGTCACAATAGAAATTCCTTTAAAAAAAAACTCTAAAGAAGCTGGGCATGCTGTTGTATGCCGGTAATTACAGCACTCAGGAGCTGAGGCAGGAGGATCTCAGTGAATTTGAGGCTGGCCCGGGCTACCTAATATAGTGAGTTCAAGGCCAACCTGGAATACACAGTGAGATCTTATCTCAAAGAGGAAAAAAAAAAGACTCTAAATAATCATACTTCTTAAAGTATCTGAATAAGATTAGTAGACTATACAATCTGACTACTTAGCAATGTGAAAAAACATTCTTTTTAGAATGAAGAAATTTCACAAATTTATTTTGTTCAGGTGGTTGGTAGTTTTAACAACAAGCTTACTAAAATGAATTTCACGAGGAAGTTGTGGTGACTGATGAATATGTATGAAACTTTGATTTAAAAATTATTTTTTAAACCACTGGTATGGTATAATTTCAAAATAACTGATAGCCTCTTCAAATTTTAGATTTTAAGTTTAAAAATTGAATTTTATATAAACATGAAAATTAGTTGTGTGTGTGTATATATATATATACATTTTTTTTCAAGACAGGTTCTTGGTAGTTTAGGCTGGCTTTGAACTCACAGTGATCCTCTTGCCTCAGCCTCTGGAGGTGTGCTGGGATTACAGGCCTGCATGAGTGCATGTGTGCATGCATAACCACGCCCGCCTTTGAAGCAGCATTTTTTAAAAGCCTATCCTTTACCTGCAATAATTCAGAAACCAACTAACAACAGGCTATATGCCCTGTGAAACTGGGAAATTGGTTAATATGTGATGATGCACTTTTAGAGAATCTAAGAAAAATTATTTAAAATGGTAAAACCGGTAGATTTATAGGCAGGAAGAGGCTTTTGAAAAGCTCACAAACATTTTCAAATTCTATAGTACAGGCAAATGCTTTGGAAGTTCAAAAGTAGTAACTCATTGCCATGTGATGATTAACAAAAAAACAACTCATCACTGCTGCCACGAATGCTATGACAGTGTTAATAAACATTACCTTCAATTACAGATTCTCATACTTAAATTCTGGTTCAAGTCACAAAGAGTACAGAGAAAATACCCATCTCTGGGGGAAAAAAAATCATCCAGAATACATACAGAAAAAAATTTAAGTAGATTTGTTTTTCCAAGAAGCTCAATAAGTTAAAAATACAGACTAGGGATTTACAGTCAACCACAACTTATTTGAAAACTGAGCTGGGGAACTGTGCGGAACACCTATAATTTCAGCACGTGGGAGGCTGAGGCAGGAGGATGGCTGAGAGCTTGAGGCCCACCTCAGGTACACAGTGAGTTGAAGGCCAGCCTGAACTACAAAGACCCATCTCAAAACCAAAAAAATCAAAAACCCAAAAAACAAAAACAAAACACCACAAAAAAGCTGATTCACAGTAGAAAGTTTTTATTACACAAACTCAGCGAGATATGGCCTCCGGCTGCAAATTCATCAAAAAGTACAAAATTATATAGTTCTAAAACCTGGATTTCTATCTTTGAAGTAGTTTCATTACAATCTTTGATTACTAACACCTAATTAAATGTAAAGCAGTAAAATACATCCTTTATGGGTTTTTTTGGTCTCTTTAAGACAGGGTCTCTCTATGCAGTTCAGGCTGACCTTGAGCTCACTTTGTAGCCCAGGCTGGTCTCGAACTCACAATGATCCTCTTGCCTCAGACTCCCGAGTGCTGGGATCATGGACGTGCATTACCACACCTGGCTAATACATCTTTTTTAAAGCAATGCATCAGTTAAGGTTTGCTTCTCAAAAATCAAATTCCTGGACCTAGATGTATATAAAAAGGTATAAAAAACAGAATTATCAAGACGCTAGGTGAATGGCCAGGTGAAATACTCATAAAAAACACGCCAGTGACAAAGGTTAGATTTATACAACATGGTTTAAAGAAGTCATCACTCGGCTGTAAGCCGAAGAGTGGATTCTGCTCTTGGATACTGTAACTGGTTATGTGCCCTTGGTCTTCTAACAACCTGTGTCTATTTCTGTAAGAAAATTAGAAAACTAGAAGGTTTAGATCAGATAGTTTTTTTTGGGTGGGGGTGTTTACTGGGATTGAATCCAGGGTCTCTGTACTGAAATGCACCTCTAGCTATTTTTTATTTTTATTTTTGATGCAGGAGTCTTGCTAGGTTGCCAAGGTTGGGCTCAAACTTATGACCCTCCTGCCTCAAGCCTCCGAGTGCTGAGGTTACAGGTGTATACCACCTCACCTGGGTAAGGCCAGGTAATTTCTAGGAATCTCCCTCAGCCTCTTTTTCATTCTTAACTTTGAGACAGGGTCATGCTAAATTGCCCAGCCTGGGCTTGAATTTGCTGCTAAACTGATAAAATTTAAAATCTTCTAAGAAGCACTTGTATCAGGACAGCCCTACCAGGAATGGTATAATCGGACGGAATGTGAGTGTCCAGGAATGCATATATGACAAAGTAGAATAAAAATAGGTTTTGAGAACTATTTGCAGTCACCATTCTCAAATTCCTATGGTTCATGGGGTCATAAATTAGTCTTTTGAATCAGTATAACCAGGCAGTTATGAAGTGTTTGTTAGCAGCAGCAATGCTTATTAAATTTGAGGGCAAAAACGTATCTAATTATCTTTTTTTGTTATTTTTGAGACGGGCTCTTGCCATATAGTTCAGGCTGGTCTTGAAATGACGATTCCCAAGTGCTGAGATTACAGGTATGCGCCATGATGCCCTGCGTAATTTGTCCTCTTGATACTGCCACTGCAGACCTATGCATTGAATTGTGTGCCCCTCATTTTTTTTTTTTTTTTTTTTTTTTTGAGACAGGATTTCACTATGTAGCCCAGGCTGGGCTTTAACTCACGGTGATCCTTCTACAGTGCTGGAATTACAGGTATGTGTCACCACACCCAGCTTTTCATTTACTGAAGTACCACAGAATATGGCCTTATTTGGTGACAGGATCTTTACCAAGTTAAAACGAGGTTGACAGGTGAGGCTCTAGTACAGTATAACTGACATTCCTACAAAAAGAGGAATCTGGAGATAGACTTCATGTGTAGGGAGAATGCTGTGTGACTAGGAAGATGCTACAAGCAAAGGGGGAAGGTCTGGAGCACATAATTCCCTCACAGTCCTCAGAAAGGAACCAACTCTGCCCATACCTTGACTTTGAACTTCTGGAATGAGTCGCTACATTTCGGCTACTTAAAGCTACCCAGTTTGTAGGAATTTGTTATAGCAGCCACAAGAAACTGATACAGATGGTAAGACTAATTTATCGTTACCAGAAGTACTTTAGACATTATCATGTCTGCAAGCCCTCACCTCCCCAATCCTAACTTTGTATTAACACTTCTGTAGGTTTGCTCAATCAGTCAACAGATTGATGTCAGAAGTTTGGGCAAGCTTCATGGTTCCATACTAAAGATGATACGTCAGTGGGTTTTGACTGAGTTATGAAATGGTTACTTTTCTTACTGTTCAGTCCTTATCAGTCCCCCCTCCCTCCCTTATGTTATTCAACATACAGATGAAGATTCACAAAAAAATAAGAAAAACTGCCCCCAAAATGGCATCTTTTCTTCCCACTACATTCCTAGTACTGTATTATTAAAAGAATCAAAGATACAAAATTTTTGATTGCCTAGTGGGTCATTCCTGCTTGAAATGCAAAAGGAGGTCTGGTTTCTTATTAGTAGGGATGCAAACGAATTTTAGAAACTTAGCTTGTGCTAATATTAAAAAGTTAATAGTAGCTATGGTTGGCCAGGTGTGGTGGCACATGCCTGTAATCCCAGCACTTGGGAGGCTGAGGCAGGTGGATCATTGCGAGTTCAAGACCAGCCTGGGCTACAAAGTGAGCTCAAAGCCAGCCTGAACTACATAGTGAGACCCTGTCTCAAAAGGCAAAAAAATAGAAAATAAATAAAAATAGTAGCTATGGTTAAGGAAAATGCAATTAGTTCCTTTAACACATCTGTTTCTTTGCCATTCATGAAACTGGAGTACATGAGATAAACTGGATGATAGTCATTCAGAGTAATTAAAACTATGACCTACCATGCAGTTGCAAATACTACAACGAAGGTATAATTATATACTGAAAAATCTAGCAATGCCAAGAAAAATGGACCATAAAAACTTAGTACTTGTTAAAGGCAAATCTTGTAAGTTGTTTTTAAAATCATTCATTTTAACATCTCCAGAAATGTTGAATTTATTATTTTACATAATGTCAGTAAAGATAATAATCAAGTTGTCTCATGGACTGGAAGGTGGCTTATTAATTCCCTTTCATTTCCAAACCTCATCAAGCAGTCACTACATTTATGAGGCAAGTCAGCGGAATGCTTGAAATCCAAATGAATTTTAAGATCGTCAATCTGTCCTGTTGAATATTCACAATACTGACATAAATAAATCCCTTCAGACAAATGTGAGTTTAAATGCTTGCAGTACTCTAGCATACTCGAAAAGCCCTTCCCACAGTCGTCACAAACGTGAGGAAATATTTTAGTATGTTCAATAGCAACATGCCTGTTCACGTTTGTATGAAGTCGACTCCGAAAACCACATACTTGACATACGAAGAAGTTCTTACATTTGTCAAAAGTGATTTTGCTCAAGAGGCTGTACTGTCCATGTTCTCCGTTGTTATACTTATCACTTAATTCTATTAATTTACACGCATGCTCATTTACCACGTGGCTGTGCAAGTCTTCCGGATCGTTGGTCTCGTGTTCGCAGAACTGACACAAGTACTGCTCGTCACAGCTGTGCTCCTGAAAGTGCAGGTAGAGCTCGCTGCTCGAGGAGAACTGCACATCGCACTGCTCACACCAGTAGAGGTGGTCACTGAAGTGGGTGTCTGCAATGTGCTGGCTGAGGTTCTCAAAAATTACTGTCTTGTAGTCGCAGTACTTACAAATGTAGGGATCCTCTTCGTGGAGCTTGGCGTGTTCAATCAGAAGCATGTTGGTAGAGAAGCTTTCCTTGCATACCCGGCACACATTTGAATCAGTACGCTTATGCTTTAGGATCATATGCTGCTTTAAGTCAGAAAAATATTTACTGTTGAATTCACAAAGTTCACATTTATACAGGCCACTGCTGTTAGCTCTCAGTAAGGGCCATTTCTGCTGGGCAGTCACATTCAAAGCTTGGCTTTTGTCAAGAATTTTACAAAGTTTAGAGGGCGGCTCTTCATCAGTTTGGTCTTGGAGGCTTTCTGAGGAATTGTTCTCTGTCTCTATATCATAATCCTCTGAAATCGCGTGCACTTCCACAGCAATGGGAACGTCTTCGGCAGTGTGGACTTCTATAGGACTCTCCTCGTGAGCTTGCTGGTTGACTGATTCAGGTGAGTCACACTCTTCATCACAAATTTCAACATCAGCAGATTTTTCTGAAAAATACAACAAATCTGTTACTGTATTACTATTACTAAACATAGCCTACTACGTACATACAACTGTACGGAAAGAAGTTTACGGCACGCACTATTTTTCCATTCATCCATACAAAATATGCCAGTGCTGTTCATTAGTTCTAACCTGCAGAAAAGGCAGTGTGGTCTAGAATTCTAAGCACAGGACTGGGAACCAGGTAGTTATGGTTTCTGTTTCTGGCCTTGATTCCTTCTGCAAATTTTGGGAGGTCATTTGATATCTCAGTATCCGAATCATCGTCTGTAGAAAGGGATTTGGAAAAAATATCTATTACTTATGGCAAAGCATTAAGCATTATAAAGGAACATTTTTTAAAAAATATAATTTTGAATTCCAATAGGAACTAAGGATTTAGATGTAGCTGTGAAAAAAGATGTTATCTATATACCCCAGACAAATAAAACAAAATCTGCCCAAATAAGCAACTAGTTTTGCTTCTATTCCCCATTTGAACTAGGATATACTTTTTAAATGTAGATATTAAGCTAGAGTTAAGTATGCTTTTCTTCTCTCAGTCCAGCCTCCCTTCTCCCCGGCCCCAGAGTTAACACGGAGAACCTGAAATACAGGTCAATAGAGAAAACTGAGTTTCAACTTTTTAAAAAATATTTTATTTTTTACAACAGTTTTACATTTAAGGAATTACCAAGACAGAGAGTTCCCATATGCCCTGCATTATTTCCCTACTATTAACATTTTACACCAGGATGGTACATTTCTTGTAATGAATGAATGACATATCACTCCTGATAATGATACATTGTTTTTGACTGAAGCCCGCATTTCATTCAGATATCCTATGTCTCTACCTAACATCCTTATTCTGTCCCAGGATCTCACGTTACATTTAGTTGTCGTGTGTCTTTAGCCTACTGGTGACTTCGACCATTCAGAGGACTACTGGTCAGGTACTTTGCAGAATGTTGCACTAATGCAATTTATCTATTCTTTGCATGATTAGATTAGAATTATGAGTTCCCTGGAGGCTGAGCCCAGAGGTAAATTGGCATTTTCACCACATCTTATCAGCATGAACTGTAAGTGCTGTTGTTGACCCTGGTCACTTGGTTAAGGTAGTATTTAGTTTTCTCCACTGTAGTATTTAGGTTTCTCCACTTTTCTTCCATATTCTCCTCTCTGGAGGGAAATTAAGGAGTGGAGAGTTGCGTACTACCTTCTCCATGTAAGAATATATATAACTTTTGGAATTCTTCATACAGAAGATTTGTCTCATTTCTCTACTTATTTATTCAATCTTATCAGTTTGGATTTCTGCATATTTAATTTGTTCCTTGGGCTGTAATTCAATGTTTTATCAAATTATTTCATCTTTGGCTGTTATGCTCCTTTAGCATACCACTACATGTGTATGTGTACATTTTACTTTTAGAGTTGTTAAAAAAAGCAATTCTCTGTTTTCCACCACTGCAAGATGCCCCAGGCTGACCTTATATATTTTCTGCTCCAGACACAGATCCACCATTTCTCCAGGAGCCTTAGTTTTTTGTTTCTTTGAGACAAGGTCTTGCTATGTAGTCCAAGCTGGCCTTAAACTCACTAGGCAGCCCAGACTGGCCTCAAACGTAGTTATACTCTGCCTTAGCCTTGTGAGTGCTGGGATTTTAGGTGTGCACCACCATGCCTGGCTCCAGGGGCCTTAGTTCCTATTAGTTAGGAACGGTATTAGAAATCAGGATCTGAGCACTTAATGTGTTTACTGCTACTAGGGTGTCATTTCTTTTAGGCCCACTCAGTTAACAGAACAAAAAATGTGTGTGTGTACTACCAAAGATATACGCATATACCTACATATATTTCTATATGTTTTGTTGTTGTTTGCTATGTAGTTCAGGCTACCTTTGAACACATTATGTAGTCCAGCCTGGCCTTGAACTTGTAGCAATCCTCCTGCCTGTTCCTCCTGAGTTCTGGGTTTACAGGTGTATACCACCATGCCTGGCATTTCCATGTTACCATCTGAATCTGTAATTAAACTAAGCATGAGTCCATATTGATGTTTTCTTTTTTATACTGATGTTTCTGACTCTATTACATTTTTCATAGTTTGTTTCTCTGTGCTTATAACAGGAGTCCAGCTGGACATGGTGGTGCACACCTGTAATCCCAGCACTTGGGAGGCTGAGGCAGGAGGATAGTTGAGAGTTCGAGACCAGCCTAGGCTACAAAGTGAGCTCAAGGCCAGCCTGAACTGCATAGTGAGACCCTGACTCAAAAAAGACAAAAAACAAAAACAGGAGTCCAAAGAAATGAGGAGAGTCGGTGTTCTAGAGAAGAAATTATCTATTTACCCCCATGTTCTAGAAAGGTGAAGTCAATGCAAAGTCAAGATCAAAAAAGACCAAAGCACCTGCTAATCTTTCCTTTCTTAGTCCTCCAGACTGAAAGGCATAGCATAGTAAACTGTGGAGAATACAATTCTTAACCCTTCACCATAAAGGCTCGTAACTCTGGGTTACACCTGCTTTGCCACCAGCCAGCTAAAAAGGATTTATGAGAGCACATTTTGTATTTATATGTCTAAAATAGTCTGAAATGTTACAAATGAAAATTACAGTTACTTTCTTAAATTCCAATTCTCGCCTGCTTTGAAATCATCAACCCATATTTTACCTACCTTCTTAAATAAGGAAAAAAATCAAAATATGTAAAAGCATTTCTTTTATCTTTTGGTGGTGCTGCGGGTCAAACCCAGAGCCGTGCACATGCACATGCTAGGCGAGCACTCTGCATACCCACAATGAATGTAATCGTTACATACCACAAACATGTACTAATAAAAATAAAGTAAAATAAATCACTCACCATAGAGCTATATCCCAGCCCCTGTAAAAGCAATTTATTTATTTTTTTAATTAAAATTTTTTTTATTAGTACATGTTTTAATACAAAATGATTACACTGAGCATGGGGAATTGGTACATGTATATAACACATCTAAAGTATTTTTCCTTTCCCTTTCCCTCCTTCCCCTCCCCCTCCCCCATAAAAGTAACTGAAAGAAAAATATTTTGGAAAATATTAGATATACCTTTATTATCAAAATATTTTAAGTCTGGCTGTCTCATAGAACAGACACTGTAACAATGATCAGAAAAAATTCCATTGAATCCATCTGCAATTCTGCTTATTCCAGAGGAATCTGAACATAAAATGAAAAAAAGGTCATAGTAAATACATAGAAATTTACCGACACGTATTTATTTTAATATTATCAATTTGTTTTCTTTTGTGTGTTAGAAAGCAAACCCAGGACCTTACATATACATGCTCTACTGCTGTGCTACAACACTAGCTCAAATTTTCATGATTTTAATTATACTATATATAAAGTACATTTTCTTCAATGCTTAAAGATTTCCTGATATGATGCTACCATTCAGTTTTCTTCTTTTTAACATCTGGTTTTAAAAGAACCATATATTATAAACTTAAATGTAATAACTTTGAAACATTTGGCTCATAATCAGAATTCCATTAAATTCAAATTTGTAATAAATGCTTTGTTAACATCACAAAATGGTGAATTAACAGAACAGTATGCCACGCGGTGCAAAGAAAGCATAACGTGTAGCGAACGTGGTCTCAACACCAACGAGGCTCTGAGCGTAGTCGTTCCAGGTCTCGCCTGGGAAGTATCAGAGCGCGGTGGGTGAGGCCCACCCTCCTGGGATGTGAAGAATGTGCGCGTGGGGTAAGCTAGCACTTACGCCGGAGACTGTCTCAAGTACATATACACAGAGACGGCCACAAAGCCCTCCCCTCTCTCTCTCTCTTTTTTTGAACCCCGGGCCTCACACATAGGAGGCAAGTGCTCTGCCACTGAGTTACACCCCTCAGCTCTCTTTTAGAGGAGTCTAAGTTGCCCTGGAGTTTTGATCCTCCAGTCTCAACCTCCTGAATAGCTAGGATTACAAGCATGTACTACCATGCCTGGCCAAGGACCCCAGTTCCTATAGTACTAACATAGCACAGCCAACCTCAATCAGAAATTACGCAATCAAAATGAAAGTTCACATACCTGAAAAAAATGTACACAATGAAGTCTTGTTTCCTCAATAATGTAAAACTTTTTCCACTATGTTGTCAATGTTTGGGAAGACAGAGGCAAAGCCCCATTATGCTACGTAAGTCACTGCACAGGCCTAATATAAAGTATCTGTAGCTCAGGGGGTTATGAGATTAAATAATGTAAAGTTCTAATGGGTCCCTAGCACTTGGTAGACAGAGAGGAATATATGTTCAGAGAACTTATAGCGTTCTCTTTCCTACAAATTGATCCAGACATTTAAATCTTATCTAATAATTTATGACAAAATGGATGCGAATACAATTTCATGGAAATTAATCCATGACCCAATTTTAAACAGATTTATACACTAACCTGAATAACGAGAAGGGTGTAAAGTCTTCCTTTTTCTTTTTTTAGGATATTCATTCATATCTTTTCAATCTAAAAAATGAAAAAAAAAAAAAGGTACAAATAACTATTACTATTGTTATAAGAATTATTTCTAATCAAAGAATTTATTAGAAATAAGAAATGTATGTGCCACATGATAATTAACCTTAAGAGAAATCCTAAACAATGCCTCTGTTTACATTTTGGGTTACTTTTCCAATCAAACTTAAAGGCAGGACACTGATATTCATTACCTTTCTTACCAAGAGAAATTCTCAGATGTTGGTATAATTGTGAGAACTGTATGATTATAATATGGGGTTGCCATGAGCTTTTTTTTTTCTTTTGTTTTTTTTTGAGACAGGATCTTGCTATGTAGTTCAGGCTGGCCTCAAACTCACAGCAATCCTCCCACCTCAGCCGACCCAGTGGTGGGGTTACAGATGTGTGCCACCTTGTCTGGGTGGATGATTATAATAAATCCTACACTCAAACTATTTTTTTTTAAAAAAAAAGCCACTATGTTTTTTTTTGTTTGTTTGTTTGGTTGGTTTTCCGGTACTGGGAATTGAACTCATGACCTTGTGTTTGCCAGGCAGGCGCTGTGCCGCTGAGCTAAATCTCCAGCCCCAAAGCCACTATGCTTACAGCACCATATTTCCTATAAATAGGAATATTTTTATACAGATTTTATGCTGAAGATAGATACATTTTCTCAAAAATATTATTGTTACAAATCTGTACTAGCCCCATGGCTTCTAGAAAAAAAGAAAAAAAGCATTACACAGAATCTCAGAATATAATTTTTGGGAAAAAAATTGATGCAGTCACATTCAATACTACTGAGAACAGAAGAGGTGTGGCAAGCACTGTAAAATTAAATTCCCATGAACTGTCATGAAAATAACTACTTAGTTTTATGACTTTTCACTTACTTGATATAATTCTTAATATTGCAGTGAGGAAAAATGAATTACAGCGAAGCTTCTATAGGTGGTAAAAAGTGCCTGTAAGCAAACATGAACATAAGTCACATACGCAAGAATGTGGGTTATTTCTGAGATCCAAGAGTACAATGGTATCAGATCTTTAATCCACTGGAACAGTATAAAGGGTTAATTCCTTTGAGTGTATTTTACTAAATACTAAAAATTTTATATATTGATAAATATGTGAGTACATGTAACATTTTCCCATTTCTTTAAAATGAATTTATCCTCTAAAGCTATAGCTATACCAAAACAGGAATATAAATCTGCATGAATCTAAAAAAAAATCTGCATAACGTTTTCAGACACAGAGAAAGTAAACTGTGCAAGTGAACACTGAATCACAGACTTAAATCTAAAGTCCTTGTTAGATTTCCCCTCGAAGCCTCATGCAGTCATAGGTGAGGCTTTTCAGAGGAGGCTGGATCTGGTATGTGCGATGCTGGGATCAAGGGTGTGACTGCTAAATTAGGCCACTGATTGGCTGGTATAGTTATGGGTGTGGATAACGGGAAGGCTATCCTATGGGAGTGCTCCCTGCCCTAAGTGTGTGTAGCCTGGATAGAATATAAGAGATAGAAAGTGGGCAGTGGTCATCGCTTGCTTTTGCCTTTTGTCTGCTGTGGCCTGTTTGTCTTTTGTGATGTCTGTCTGCCCTGCCACTCTGCCTTGGAGCCAGCCAATTATGGACTGAAACCTCTACAAACTGTGAGCCAAAATCGATCTTTCCTCCTTTAACTTTTGGGGTTGGATATTTTGTCTCAGCAATAAGAAAAGTAACCAAGCCAGGTTTTGGTACCAAGAGTAGGGTCATTGCCGTGACTGTACCTGACCATGAGTTTGGAAATATTTGGAGATGTTGGCTGAAGAAGCATCTCGGGGGTATGAACACATTTTATTTCATTTAATACTATTTTATGCAAAATCCAACCTATCCTCTCAAAATCATCATTTCCTTCTTGTTATTGATTAGCAAATTGAGACATACACTTGTTAAAATTGGATACTCAGCCAGACTTGAACAAAGGTCTAATTAAATTTTTTGTTTTGTTTGAGACAACAGTCTCACTATGTAGCTCAGGCTGGCCTCCAACTCATGGCAATTCTCCTACTTCAGACTCCCAAGCGTTGGGATCACAAGCATGTGCCACCATGCCTGGCTTGCACATAGTATTTTTGGTGCTCCACTAAATTGTGGATATATCAGCACTACTGTGAAGTAATCACATGGTAGTAAGATAGTGCTTTTTCAGCATATGAAACATTTTTCCTAACCCTTATTCTAGTTCATCTTCTCACCAATTCTTGAGGTACACAGAGGGACTGTCAAACCCACCTCATTTTTACTGATGAGGACACAGACTCAGGAAACTCAAATAAGCTAAGTGGCCGAACCAGGGACGACACCACATGCCTTCTGATTCCTGGGTATGAGATAACTGCACAGGAGCAAATCTTCACTGCAGAGCGCTGTCACTAGCAAGCTGCACCTTGTTTCCAATTCTTAGTCACCAACTGGAAAGAAGGGAGTTATCACCTAAAAAAAATTCACAAGCATGACATTTATAGAACTGATACCAACATGTAAAATGTCTCACTCAAATAGCATTCTTCATCATCCCAATCCTGTGCATTCAATATTTTTAAGAAGTTGTTTTCCTCTTTATCCAATAAACTAAACTTCTAAGACTTATTCCAAAATTTATAGTCCAAGGCTTCAGGCTATGTTCTCTATATGCTAAGAATATTAGGCAGAACGCTAAAGACCGTTAGCTGAACACATTAAGATAGTCCCTTGTTATTTAGGACATATTCCAAGTTTCTTAGAAATTCAATAAAATAAGAAAAGGAAACCAACATTAAAATTGATGGGGCAAACTGGCCTGGATTCAGAATTTCGAGTGAAAGAAGTAAGATCATTTTAATCAGAAAAAGAGTCTGACCCTACTTTGGACAGAATACTAGGGAAGGCTGATCAGCGCTCCTCTCCGCAGGGCGGTAAACGCCCACTCAGGACCCAGACTACCACCCACCCTCACTTACTTCAGCGAGTACTGTGATGGGCCTGGAATAAAAAGCCAGCTGTCTTCAATGCAGTTATGGGTACAGAAGGCCTGTAAGTCATGAGCATTTGCTCACTACTCCCCGACCAGAAAGATTCTTGAATTACATGCAGAGGAGCATTAAGTTCCAGACCAGCTTGGGCTACACAGTGAGCTCAAGGCCAGCCTGAACTGCATAGCGACACCCTGTCTCAAAAAGACCAAAAAAAAAAAAAAAAAAAAAAACCAACAACAAAAAAACCATACACACAGAAGAACCTCTGCTAATATTTTAGTGTTTGTATATGACACTTTTTCCCAGGCTGAGGTATACATGTATATTTTCATTAAGAAAAATGATATTGCTGGTTGTGGCAGTGCATGCCTTTAATTTCAGCACTCTGGAGGCTGAGGCAGGAGGATTGCTTAGTGTTGGAGGCCAGCCTGGGCTACAAAGTGAGTTTAAGGCCAGCCTGAACTGCATAGTGAGACCCTGTCTCAAAAGAAACCAAAAAAAGGTATTACGCCATATGAAGCAGTTTTTGGTTTCTAAAAAAAAAGGCATCTTACGAAACAGGTTGGCATCCTCGCACCTGTCGTTTTTTCAACCCGCAAGAAAGCCTGCGTACAGCACACGAGGCGCAGCCAGGCAGCCATCACCCGCGACAGACCAGCAACCTCTTCAAAGGCCTCTCCTGCAGTGTAAGTCTTTCTGCCTAGCCGGCGGCATCTTTACAGTAAACAGCTAAAAGGGGGTAAGCCTTTCTCACCTTCATAAAAATAAACATACTTTCAGTTTTTAAAGGAACGGAACGGAACGTTTCAGGCGACCCGACTCGCAGGCGGTGCACGGCCAGGTCACAGCCGTCGCGGGCGCACACGGCCGGCCGCAGCCCGGCCCGGCGGCGCGCCTGTATCGCTCTGCAGACACA